AATGTGCTTTGAACTGTGATAATTAATTAAATATACAATTATGAGCACGCAGTAATCCAAACTTAGGTCAGAAACGAGTGTAATGATTTTATAGGAATAAATGATTACCATTTCTTCAAGTAGGCTATCTTGAACAGGCTGGAGTCGGTGCAGATACAAAGTACATTTCAGGAGGCAGGGACTGAATAAAACTCAGTTTATTTGCCTTATAAATCGATTACGACCCGTATGCATTACGCGGTGCTTCGGCCCAGAACAACAATTGATACGCCCTCCAAATGAGTGTCGCCTGCCAAAACAGAAATAGCTTATGCGGTAGCTCGGGCAGGTCCCATTCAGTCGAGGGCCTCCAGCCTGCCGGTCGGTCGGTAAGTACAGCGTGAGATCAAGTAACGAGCAGCGAAATTGTTCAATGCCAGTATTACTCACGTTGCAGGATATAAAGTGCATACATTTTCAGGAAAACCCAGAGAAACATTCCAGATCTTGGATCAGTAGCAGATATTCAGAAGAATACACACAATTCATTGCGTGTGTGTGTGTGTGTGTTGATTTCAGTGGCGACCTTGGCAATCTATGATCAATTAGTTGTAAAAATTCTGTTCTTGTTCTAATATCTTCAACAAAAATGATTGAGGACACATGAAAATCATTTTCATTCTTCTCGCTTTTCATGGATGTAAACCAATGTTATAAAGTTGTGTGTTTATCAGCATGAAAAGAGCCGTTGTAGAAGGTCTTGGCTTTCTGTTTCAGTAGCAACAATGTACGTTACCTTTGGTCACTGCACCTGAACACAACCAATGAAAACAGTGCCTTGCTCAGCAGCATCCAATAGCGAATGAGAGAAACGAAGGTTTGTACCCACAGTGGTCGCAACATCTGAGTGCATTAATAGACATCGTCTTATCATTGATAGGTCCCTGTTCGTTTTTAGGGATAAATTGCTCCTGAGTACATCGTTCGTTTCACTTCAGTGTCATCGGGTAATGGAAAATCCATCAGTGGTTGCTATAATTTTCAGTCTACAAATAAATGTGTGATTTGGAATATCATTAAAAAATGTTAGTACATGGTATCGTATCACAACTGTAACGTAACAGAGTACTGTTTGTGGCTTTGTATATTACAGTCAGCTTCTCTGGGTGTGAGGCTTAAATGTCTTGCACTTTTTTTTTGAAACGCAGAAGCTGCAAACCATAAATATGCTGGAGATAAATCGTGTCTGCCTTGTGCCTGAAAACACACACGAAGAACCAAAACACAAACTTCTGATTGCGTTCCTAAACCCAAAACTGTGATAAAGAATTCAGATCGAGTGGAGAGAGGACTTCGTACTAAGCAAACGAACTGAAATTCGCAAAGAGTGCACATTAAATTTCAAATACCCAACTAACCTAACCTAACCTAACTCTTCAGTCTCCTATCATAAAAGTTAATTCGAGTGTCGCATAGATTCAGCTGATAGGCGAAGGTTTTCTCGCGACGAGGTCTAATGAATGAGTTACGTTATTGAGAAACACACTGTGACTTAGAAGGAGTGTGTAAACTACCCTACGGTCCGCAAGTGAGTGGTTCTAATCATCTAGATCAGGGCGTACCATTAAGTCTAATTTAACACATTAATTGTACCACTAACCAAATGCGTTCAGGGAAAACTATTATTTATGTTATTATTAAATTTTGATTTTCTTACTTAGTTCGCGTAGCACCAGTGTTACGCGTACCATAGGTTGAGAAACGATTGTCTAGAATCTAGATTAACGACACGTATTGCACTCACAGTCGTAGTTAAATACTGATACACACGCTGACAAGTTAATGAGTGAGTCGGAGATACATGGAGTACTATCAGAAACATGTAGATGGCAGCACTACTAGAATGATCCTTGTTTTCTGACATTTATAAGAGGTTTCGTGCAATTGCATTTTATGTTTATAAACACTACATTGTTACTACTAAGCCATGCAACAAATAACCTATACATGCTAAGTAGTACGAAAAAAGGGAGTAACAAAATCTTAAAATACACAGAGAATCACAGTTATTCGTTTCGTGCATGTATAGCTTAACCACGAAGTTATCGTTAGTATTTGAAGGTCATTTCTAGGCCTGTTCTCATCCGTGCAGATAGCCTATTACAATTACTCCGTCCGTCCGTCTGTTTTTTTATCTGTAAGCACGAGAAAACCCGAAAACTGTTGACAATTTTCTGATACAATCTAATTTTGATCAACATCAGACAACATTAATGGACACCTTACGTGAAGGCCTATATGTATCTCTGCGTTCCGAGGCGGCTGGGTGGGAAATCACACATCCGGAGGATTCCCCCGTGGGACAGCCAAACCCGGGGATATTTGTTTCTGAGCTTGGTTCCTGCATGTAGCGAAGACACGATCCAAAATTCCGGTGATGTGAAATACGTATCGGAACCGAATCTTTGAAATTCAACAACCACTAGAAGCTGTTTTTGCAATATTACTGTCCTTCATTTTGAGCTGAAGAACCACTCAGTCACGATTATTCGTAATAAGTTTTATTAAAATGCTGATTTAATAACCGGTATCCACATTAAGCAGGCGGGTTTGAAATATTTTAATATTAAATAGTTGTCTAATTGGTCATAATAGTAACATAATAACAAGTATACCGAAAATTACTTTTTCGAGACATGCGTGCTGGTAGGCGAGATTCCATCCTTAGCTGCAAAGTGCTTCTAAAGGCAACGAGGAACTCAGTATTAAATCCGGTATCTAAATTTTCAACCGTAGTTCATTTACCTGTTAACGGATTGCCAACTCCTAAATTAGCAAGAGAGTGTAACAGTTTTATTAAGCACATTTTCAGCAACTCCTGACAATCGGACTTACTAATTAAGAAATTTACTTCACAATCCTATGATAATATGTCTTAAGTAATAACATGTTAATGCCCTACAACAGTATCAGCACGTTAGACAACAACAGTTTAGTTACTCGTAAATACAAATGTTAATTTCTGATAATTAAGCTTAAATAACAGTTACTTATCATCACTCCGACAGATGTGTCATGAGGTAAAGCGTGGTTTCTGGCAAGCTTTCTGTGTGTGATGGGTTCCGACTGAATGCAGGAAGGAACACGTTGGGTCCTTGGCTGTCGCAAGTTCTGGCATATTCCTGAAAATTATTCGCTGTAAAGGTGAATTATAGGCCTATCTGGAGCTCTATAGACCCATAAACAGTTTCGAATTTTATTTTAACACTTTTCAGAGCCGTCAAATTAGCTTAAAGTAATTTGAACGGGCAGTCGCCGCCTAAGTATGCCAGTGGGGAACACGTGTATGACAGCGACAGCAAAATACAACCCAACTTGTCAGCATAAATATTAAGACGGCGTGGGAAAGAGAATCTCTTCATTTGAGAGAAGGCCACATCGACTGTTACAAACAGCGCATTCTGCTTCGACTGGTAATAACGTGCCCATTGAAAATAAGGCATACAGCGATGAACACTTTCAGAACACTTCGCGTTGCCAATGAAGTAAAATCATGGCTGATCGAACCTGTCATTAAACTGTGTAGCGATTTCACACTGATCCACTTCATTATTAAACGCGGATTTCATAGTCTGCTTGGAATTTTTACCACAAACTTAACGAATTAGTAATTCGTCTTCGTGCTGCTTGGAATTTTTACCACAAACTTAATGGATTAGTAATTCGTCTTCGTCTTCGTTCTTATTCTTCTTATTTCATCATTGATTCTTTCTCGAATTCAATTCTGCAGACCGGATACTCTGAGGGTTTTAGTGGTTTTTCTTAAAACTCTACGGGGAAATGCTGAGATAGAGCCTTATAATAAATCACACTCACTTCATTACGCATCCTTTTTGATTTATCTTTAACCGTCTTTCAGTATTCTGCGCTATTTTACCTGTGCAGCTGCAATCGCGCATTTAGGTCGTCGAAGAATCAGTCTTGTTTTAATCTACATCTCTGTAAAATAAAACTGATGTTTCCTGCAACGTCTTTTCAGAATGAAACACGTGTTTCAGGCTATGGCTCTGTCCCCCTGGGGGCCCCAGAAATCGTTCCTGAACGCTTGCCTCAAGCTTTGCAGACGCGCTGCAGGCGCTACGACCATGCTGCCATCTCTGGTGGTATCGGCGCTCTTCATCCTGCTGACACTAGTGCTGGCTCACGGAGCCAGACGCATGGTGGACAGGCTCATCAGTGACCCGTTCACGCGTCTACTGTTGCAGGAGGCTATTGCTGCAGCCGAACTATGTGGCTGCTGCTTCGAGCTCATCATAGGTGATAACTGTACTGAATCGGTATCGGTTGGCACAACTGCCTCACAGTGGCACTAATTCTTAATAATAAGTCGTCAGAAACAAGCTGCTGCGAGCAGATGATAATCCATAATGAGCTGAAAATGCTCAAATATTTATTTATGCGCCCTCGTGGCCTACAGTCCACAGGAAGAAAACTTTATCTCTTAACTGCTTCCTAATGCGTACATTTGGGAGCTTTATAAAACTCTTCGCAGGATGGGGAGAAAAAACAGTAAGAACTATGTAGTCCTCTGTGATTTATTTTTCAAATCTCAACGTTATACCTTAATTCAACTCAAAAATTAATACTGTCACATTATTCCACATAATGCTATTTATAATCACACAGAGGAACAAATAGTTTTTAGACATGTTATTTAATTTGTTCTCATGCATAATTTTTAATTCAGAATGATTATAAAACTCTAAATAAAGTTATTAAAATGAATATATTAAACGTGCCGGTAATAATTAAATTTGTAAATTGATATTTTTACTGTGATAGAGATGCACCAATACAAAGAAACAAATGTTTATCTTGCACATACTGGTTTGCAAACATTATGACATTATGAAGATTTCTGTCTTCTGGGTTG